AAACAATACTGGTTGGTGAATGTTCGTCAGCGTAGCAATCATCTACAATTTTTCAGTAATTTGAGTTTTGAACTTTTTAGTGTGATCCCTTTGTCTTCATTGAGGAAGCATTTTGTGGGCATCGAGGGGCCGTTGAATGAGATGAAGACGGATCTGTTTATTAGACTAGTATGACTATTGGACGTGTTTTTGTATGATGTAAAATATGAAGTTTAACGTAGTAGAAATTTTAACGTATGGATATCCGTATGTGACACCTCTACATATGAATCCCACTGGACGTCTTATGCAAGAATTTTCACCTAATTTAGACCTATGGTATGGCCTCCGGCGGGTGGAGGACTTACCCACCCACACTTTTTGGGATCCCACCGCGACATGCTTGACCAATGTGTGTGAAGTTTTTGGCATGGTGTCACATGATGAATTTGGAACACACAGCGGGATTGGGACCACGAAAGCAGAGTCCCTATTTTACACAATTGCTTTACAAAGAAAAGAAGAGCCATCAGCTTGCTTGCTAGTAGCGCAAGTCACTGCATCTAAAGTGAGCAACGGCGACATTGTGTCCGTATAATTGACAAAGACATATTCGAGTAATTCTTAATTTTACTGCTTTAAAATTCAGATGGAACTGCCATTAATACTACGGTCTAGTGGTATTCCTTTTCACTCGTAAGTGAGAGGTCTTAGGTTAGATTCTAGCTAAAAGTAAATTTAAACTACATTATTGCAAGCTCATTAATGTCGATAATATCGTTTGTTCAAAATAATAATAATAATAATAATAATAATTCAAATGGAACTTCTGAGTGTTGATTGAGTTACGTCTTCACCTCATTCTCAATTTATTCTGGAATGGAACTTCTTTAGCTGTTATACGCTGCAGCTTTATAGCTCTTTGATTTCCATATAGAAAACAAGCTTCTTCTCGTGGAATACCGTAACTTTATAGGTCAAACCATCGTATTTTGTTAGGCTAGTTAGACAACATTTCTTAGATGCTTTCCAACTTTGAATTGTAATGTTAATCTTGAGAATAAGGTTATGAAACAATACAGCATTGGATGAATGCCGCCCTGATATTGTGACATTTATCTGTATTCTTGTCGATCCTAAAAATTACCAAGTCTACGTGGCATGCAGGTTGAGTAATTAATAAGCTAACTACATCCTTCGGTTATGTGCGGGGTGTGCCAACTCGTCGGTCGAGCTCGGCCAAGGAGTAAAAGACGTTGATGTGGCGTTGGATGCGCTGCTGACTTCTTAATCTCGAGAATGCAGCAGAGGAAGGAACACATCTTGGCCTTCAGGTTCTAGAGCCTGAAGACAAGGCTGCTAGTTATGCGAAGTTCAATATCAAATTCGACTTTCAATATGCCGAATGTAGTAACCTCGTAACACCTCACTTTGCCGAGAAGGCTGATGAGATGGCCTCTACCAACAAGGACTCGGAAATCCTTATTGACCGAGACTTGGATAAATAACCAGTCGGTCTTGAAGTAGTGATGTTTATCCAAATTGAAGGTGCTCCTCAGTCGGCTAATTTAACGGCTCTAATGCTGTTTATCCAAACTAAATGTGTCGCCAGTTGCCATCACAGTGCTATTTATCCAAACTGAAGATGTGTTGGCGGGAAAAAAGAAATAAAAATCTCAAGGTTATTGAGAGGTTTCACGTAGAGCGAGAGTTTGTGCAGGGTAGTTTGTGTGTTGAATTGAAGGGGTTTGAATGATGCACTCCCTCCTCTATTTATAGCAGTGAACCTACTCTTGGCTGAGCCAGAGATGCACTCAAACTAGAACTCTTTATCCCAATTTGATTATGATTTGGCCAATCCTAGTTCCAATAGATTCCTGAACTAGGCTCAATAATAAACCAGATTCATTTCCTGATTCAGGACGCCTTCAGCTTTAAGACCCCTTGTTGTATCAGGATTCAACCTCTTTGCCTTTATCCAAATCAATCCTTTTCTCAATAGAACTCGGCCAACCTAATTGGGACTAATCTACGCTCGAGGTGAGGCTTGCCTTTCACCACGAAGTGCTTTCAGTGAGTTTTGAACCCCTACCAGTTAGGCACCAGGGAATCCGCCCACTGATGGTTTGATTTGCCAATTGCGCCACACCTTGTGGTTAAAGGCGTATCAGTTTTTAATGAGATTAAGAAAAGTAGTTTCCGGCCTGATGTTTTGTCTTAGACATCCCTACTCAATGCTTTTGGAAGGTCACGGCAACCTCAAATGGCCAGGGAAGTTTTTGACGTGATGAGGAAAAACAACTTGAAGCCAAATGGAATTCATCCAAACATTGTATCAATATGCACACTTTTAGCAGCTTGATCATTGATACAACATTACCTTACATAAGATGGAACTGTGCGTTTCAAAAATTTCCTAAACATTAATGTTTGATGAAAGACTTTTCTTACCATCATATGTCTATGTTTTGTAGTTCCATGCTCTATACTCGCAAGTTTTTTTCGCTTCATTTACGTTCCCAGTTATTAAATTTGCTTCAATGAGGAATTGTCAACCCTAATTACTCAGTGGCCGGTGGGAAATAAGAAATGGTACGTATAACAAAAAAAACTTACTAATAATTAATTAACCAAGAGCTAATTAACTGATATTAACTTAACAAGTTAACAATCTGATTTATCAATTTTCCAACCAAAAAGAGCAGAATCTTTTTATTTTATTTTATGCATGCCAAGCTGGCCCATATCTATGTATGTGTTCTTTAACAACTCATTCCTCATCACTTATTTCTTGACAAAATCTGTCGAATATGAACATGTATGTATAATAATTCAATGTTGTTCCTACGTATAATTTTGAAAAACTTAATCTTTCTTGTCCATTTTATACCAGATTAAGAATATATATGCAGGGATGAAGTTAGGATTTCAAACGTGACTGAGCTGAAGTTATTTTAGTCCTAATTTTCTTAGCCAAGTTGAATATGAAGGTATCGTGTTTCAAAATTTGTCGATATATATGTGATGTTCCATTATGCATGCATTTGCAGATATATATATATATATATATATATATATGTATGTATGTATAGCTTTGCTGCTCATATTTTTGTCGATCGCAAAAACAAGAAAGCCAAATGCAGATTTATATCATCCAGTGCAATAGTATTTGGTGTACTAAATATATTTGGCTGAATACTAGTAAGAGCAGCTCTAGCGTGTGCTGGAGCTCGAGGGATAGGTGAGTGAACAGGGCCAGAGAATCCGAGCAATCAAGTCCAGCATGTGCTGGCAAGGGAGCCCGAGCAGCCCCGAGCGAGAGGTCGGTGGAGAGTTGCCAGCCCAAGAGCCCGGAGTGGGTTTGCTGCAAGGCTGACGTCAGCCATGTTTTTTCTTCTGTTTTGCCTCGGCGTCTGTTGGATCTCAACCCACAAACTTGCTGGAGTTTGCTCTGAGGACATGACCAAAAACTGGGCAAGGTTTCAGAGAAATTGCAGGGGGTTAAACCTCTGGTTTCGAACTGGAAAAACACCACAAATCTTGTCCCAAGCAACATTAAGACATAATGAAACAAGATTTGCATAGAGAACCTCACTTGGGTTCGAGTTTCAGATCTTGAAGCTCTCGGCTTCAATGGTGGTTTACACCGTGATGATCCGATGACGCATGCAACGGTATAGCAAGGATCCTTTAATCCCAAAGATTAAGGTTTCATGGTTTTGGAGTTTGATTTGTTTAATTTTCGAAGAGGAAATTGGGTGAGAGCTCTCGGAGCTCTAGAGAGAGAGAGAGAGAGAGAGAGAGAGAGAGAGAGAGAGAGAGAGAGAGAGAGAGAGATGAGTGGAAGAGAGAGAAACTTCAGAGAAAAACGAAGAGGAGTGAGAAAGATGAGTGGAAAGAGAGAGAGTGACGTGAGGGAGTGGAGAGGTGCGCGGGAAATTCCAAACAATTGCAAAAGATATTATTATTTTATTTAACAGGCTATTCAAATGTAGAGATGGAGATGCAAAAAATAATTACTGATTATTGTTCACTAGATGAATTAAATAGTGGATAGCCTGGAGGGGCCTTTCCCACGGTAAAACTGCTCTAACAAACCATGCACACCAAGTGGAGCTTGTCTTCATTCCACGTATGAACATCTGTGTACAAGTCAAGCCCAACAACAATGACTGTGCTAATTCCTCAACTTTTTCACTGTTCTTTTAGCACAGCTCATTGCTAGCAGAGTGTACCAAGTGATTAGCAACTAATTAACCACGAGTGTACCCTACTGAACTAAATGGATTCCCATCATTTCAACACATCATCATTACTTTCCTTTCTGCAACCACAACGCATTGGTTTTGGGTTAGATACTACGGTTTTAATACGATTCAAAATAAAGATTAATCATACCAATCTCAATAGCTCACATATTTAATGAGAATGTAAATTCCACACACTAGAAAATCAATGGTTCCGTCTCTCTAGTGGCATGAAACAAAATAGGGCAGTGACATGAAACAAAATAGGGCTCAACTCAACTTGACATTGCATGCGCATATACAATCCATCTTTTCATGTGTCAGCTTCTCTCATGCTTGAAAAACTCATCAACTCCCAATATTGCACATTCGTAGTACATTTCGTCACATGTCACCTATGGCATTAGGATAATGCAACCCATGTAACTGAATAAAAGGTTAATACACGTCACTTTGCCTCTGCTTGGGCCGAAATTCAGGACAAGGGATACCCCGCCCTAAAAATCAAAGGCGCCGTCCACGCCCGCCCCACCACCCCCCATCCATTAGCTTTAAGCTCAAATTCTGGACTTTTGCCCTAAACGTCCTCCGAGTAATATGAGGCCACTTTCTGTGAAAGTAAAACGCGTCGGTGCGGTGTCCTCTTTTTACAACTTGAAGGTTAAGCAGCTCCTTCATCTCACTCTACTATTTACACACCCCTTATTTAAACCCGCTCTTACAAGTAGATGCGGTGTAGCTTCAAAGACAAGACCATTACTTACCCCCGCGCCTTCTCTCTCTCTCTCTTAAAGTCTCTCAACACTCTCACTCCTCCACTTCCCACTCCGTTTTTCCATTTTTCCATTTTTCCATTTTTCACTACTTTTTCTTGTTGCGTTTCTTGATCTTTCTGAGCTAACCATGAAATTTACTCATCAAACCCACTTCTCTTTCAAGCTTCTACTTCTACTCACCGTCGCCACCACAACGCTTTCTTCGCCGCTGCCGAAGCCTAAAGTGACTTCCAAGGAGCAGATCGAATGCGAAATGTGCTCTGTCTGCGAAAATCCATGTGGCAAAGTGCCATCCCCTCCTCCACCGTCGCCTCCTCCGCCTTCATCTCCGCCGCCTTCTCCGCCGTCCTCATCCTCCAACTGTCCGCCGCCTCCCACGCCACCAAGCTCCGGAACCACCTACTACTCTCCTCCGCCACCTTCCCAGCCCACTTACTACAACTACCCGCCACCGCAAGGCGGCAGCGGGGGTGCGTTTTATCCTCCGCCGAATGGCAAGAACTACCCAGTGCCACCGCCGCCGAACCCAATTGTGCCGTACTTTCCGTTCTACTATTATAACCCTCCTCCCCATACGGCGTCCAGCTCAGTCCAGCTGGTGGCTAGCCACCCATTAGTTTACACTGTTTTCAGTGTTGCTCTGTTTTCTGTTATGCTCTGTTTGTTTTGATGGAAACGGAAACAGACAAGGAAGGTGGAATTAATAATGTGGCGGCAGATTCACGGATCTACGACTGAGCAAACAATTGAAGAGGAAGAAAACGAAGACAGAAAGAGATGGGAGTTGCCTACTGCTGATTTTGCATTTCCGAAAATGCCCTTGAGGAACAAGGGTTTCTGTTCACTGACACTTGAAGTTAGAGCTGAAAGATTACAGATGGGAAGTAAATTCTCTCTTTCTCTCTTCCGATCTCTCTTTAATTTTTTTTTTCTCTTTTGCCTTAATTTATCTGTCTGAATTATAATGGTGTAGTAGCCTTGTAGGCTGGTCCGTTGTAATTTGATGGGCAATTTGTATCTATCGTTATTTGGTTAATATAATCATGAAAATAAAGTAAATTGTTATTCATTTTTGCTAAAAAATTGCATTAGCTCCGTAGGAATTATTTGTGCATAACGAATTTTGTAAGGAAATTAATGAAAAGGGATTAAAAACTTTAAGTTTTAATGATAAGGATAAAATAAATGGTAAAATAAATAGTAACATGATTGATGTTTTAATATAAAAATATGATTTTTTGTTCCTATATTCTTCTTTTGACCATTATCTTCTAATGTTTTAGAGTAGAATGTACATTGTTGATTCATTCATTGATAGATTAAATTTCTAATATTTATCTTATGGTCGTAAGACTCATTAGAAACTGTTTTTAAAATAATTGAAATCATTTTTATAAAAAATATTTTTTAATTTTAAAAGTACTTAAATTGCTTCTTGCAAAAAGTATCAATTATGTGTTTTTTTTATAAAGCATTATAAATGTTCTTTTATGATTCATTTGCATTTTTATTAAGAATTGATTTTAAAATTTTTTTTTTTTAATTTTTAAAACTATTTTAAATGTACTTTCAAATAACGTTATAAAAGTAAGATTAAGCTGGAGCCTAATTAAGCAATTTGTATTTACAATTGGGTCCCAAGAGGTGCCTGATGTCGACAAGTTTATTAATTCGGGTACAAACATAGGTTGTGAGGGAGAGAAATTTTTAATTGTGATGAGAATATAAGTGGTACATCACGTGTTAACGTATTTTAATCGAACTGATGGATTTTTTTTTTTTAAAATTATTAACTTTTTAGCATATATATCTCACCATTTATAACATATGATGTACCATCCTATGTACCATGAAAAATCTCTTATGCAGGGACCCATCTCCCGAGTACTGTGTTTCCCTCTTTTTGTTCAAGGGTTTCCAGCTTGCATTTCCCTCTTTTTGTTCAAGTTTCCAGCTTGAAAGCTTTATTATGTTTTGATGTATTTTATATATGTAGAGATTTTTTATGTGATCGGTATATGAGGTGGTATACTATGTGCTGTTATACGAATGATAGGAATTGTGTGTTAAAAAATTAATAATTTAAAAAATAAAATTTTTCACCACTTACATAAAAACACGTGGTATACCATTCGTGTTCTCGTTACAATGAAAAATTTCTCCTATAAATGAGATTTTTAATCGTTAAATAACGTTTATTATATTTTTAACTAACGAAGCAACGGCTAAAAGTTCTGATGGTAAAGGTTATCACAAAACATACTAAAAAATACGGATTAGGATTCTCTCCTCTACTTTTTCTATCCCCTTTCATTCTTTCCTCTCATATTCTCTTATTTTGTTTTTCTTTTGTTATAAAAAATTAATATATAATGTTGACGTGGCGTAACCGTGACCGTTCAAATAGGAGATGAGGGAAAAGGAGAAAGAGATAATGGGGATAATCCTAGTCCAAAAAATACCTTGCCAGCTTCCTAAATGCAATGTACATCTGTCTCTCTGGCTGCTTTTGACCATTTGAGTAGTTTGGGACAAAAATATTAGCGCCGCGCTTAGCTTAGCCATGCGTCAATGTGCCATTGTCTTCTTTCTATGGCAAAGATAACTTACTTTTGCTGTAGGAGCCTTTAGTTTTGCTTTGCAAGAAATCATTCGTTTATTGGTCAAATATTAGGGACGATCTTGGTAGGTTAAAGAGTAACACATGAGACTCTTTGAACTTCCAATTCCAACCATGAGATCATTTGAGTTGAGTTCATATCTCTACTGGCATTTGAGGACAGTAGTCCGCATCCGCATGCATGGACACTCACACCCTGCAGTCACCGATGCGCCTGTGAGCGACTGTCTTTGAGAATATTCTAGCAATCAGTACTTTCGAGCTTTGAACAGGAGTAACATGCAAAAGATATGGAAGATGCTGTTTTTCTGACACGAGTTTCTGATTTGATTAGCTTTAGCAACTAAGAGTCATTGATGAGTCATGAGGCATCGATTTCTTACTCAGCTGGAGAAAGGAATAGAAAGGAAGGTTTAGCATCACAACGAAAAAACTGTGTGCTAGAGAGGCCTCCTTTCACTATGCTTTTCTGATGAATGTGGTGTGTCATGGGAAAAACTTCAGTGGGGGCAGTGTCTTTCTTTGGCCTCTCTCTCTCTCTCTCTCTCACACACACACAAAACTATTTTGTTGTTTGGTTAAACCGACATTGCTTGGGTCAATGTGCCATCATTTTGTTCGTTTGCTCTCATGTCAATGTGATAACGTCTTATTAGTTTGCCTTACATATCTAATCTTGTGACACTCCTATTAAAGATTCTCAAAGGTGTGCCGGTAGTCGTCTCTTTTTATTAAGTAATCAATGTGCAAACGGGTGCATCATGCGTTGCCCTCTTTGTGCCAAAAACAGGAACCTCTCAAAGTGCTTTCTTTTCTTTGAAAAATAAAGTGACAAACAGATTCTGGAGATCAAAACTCAGTTGTACAATCATCGATAGATCCCCCGACCATGTCGGCAGAAATCAACAAACTTTCCCTTCTCTTTAGGGGGTTATATAACTTTTCAATGTTTCATAACAATTTTTCTTCGTCCAAAATAACTGAGTAATTCAGGATATGAAAAGTAAAAATTGATTCTAAATAATCAAACAGTTTAGTTAAAAAAATCAGATTACTTAATAGGCTGAACTACCGAAGCCAAACTCGTTTGGCAAATAATGGACATGAAAAGTAAAGAAAACTTATGAGATTTTCTACATAAAATGCAGAAAGATGGGGTGATATGCAAACAAGTCAGCATCAGATATTGTGAATGGATGGTGGCTCAGGAGATTGTTAAAGAGACAAATAATAAAGGGAAAAAATGTGTTGCATAGATGAGTAGAGGTGTGGGAACAATTAGCTGGAGGGCACGTAATCAAATGGGTTTCGGGTTGTGGGGGGAGGGCGGTGGGGTGTCCTGCCAAGTTGGTATATGGCATCCTAGGCTCGAGCACTCACACAGGAAATAGAAAGGATAGAGATTAGAGATTGCCATTCTTACTCTGACTCTGCATCGAAATTCTGATGGCCCCTCAAAAGATAGATATCAAGATTGAGCTCAAGAGGCTAAGAGGATAAGTTTGTTTCTTCCCTTGTCACAATCGCTTGCATAAAACGAAATGTCAGTTAAACAATTAAATAAATAAAATACTTTACATCATTTCTAGTTCTAGAATTTGTTTCGTAAACATAAATTTAAAGTATTTTATTTTTACAAATAATAGATAACTTGTATTAAATTTATCTAAATTATGAGATCGAGATTTGAATCTAGTGTGTCATGAGTAAAGAATAGCAAATGAATGCACCTCTAACTTTTTTTAGTAGTTTTAAGAGGTGTACTTTTGAATATGTGCAAGTTAAGAAGAAATGACTCCTTATGTATGAAAGCCGAACAATATTATCAGTTACAAGAGTGTAGGGGTTGACTCAAAAAGAAAACACTCAGACGTACAGAGTTGCTCTCTTGAGGTCTTCATTTTGAGAACCTACAAGGACCTCTTTTATATGAGCCCTGAATTAATCTAGCGGTAGGAAAATTAAGGGGGGTTTTGATACAGATGCCCAGGTTTTAAAATTTTAAGATTAAACATTTATGCCTTTTAGAGTTTGATTCAATATTTTCCTACAATTTAGGTGCCATATAGATTAGAAGTAGCCTTTTTTATAATTTAAATTACCCAACTTGCCATTATATAAATATACCTTTTTAATTCCTAGATAATACATCAAAACTCCTAAAATCTTGTAGATAAATATTGTAGAATTTAATTCCAATAAAAAGTCTTTCAAAATACCCATGATTGCGACTTGCCATTATATTTAATATACCTTTTAATTTTCTTAGATAATATCTCAAAACTCCTAAAATCTTGTAGATAAATATTGTAGTATTCAATTTTAATAAAAAGTGTGACATCCCACATCGCCCAGGGGAGTGATCCTTATATGTATATTTCCATCTCTACCTAGCACGAGGTCTTTTGGGAAATCACTGGCTTCGGGTTCTGTAGGAACTCCGAAATTAAGCGAGTAGCGCGCGAGAGCAGTCCTATGATGGGTGATCCACTGGGAAGTTCTCGTGTGAGTTCCCATAAACAAAACCATGAAGGCGTGGTCGGGGCCCAAAGCGGACAATATCGTGCTACGGTGGAATCGAGCCCGGGATGTGGTGGAGTCCCAGGCCGGGATGTGACAATTCGGTATTAGAGCCTATCCTGGCCGTGGTGTGCTAACGAGGATGTCAGGCCCCTTAGGGAGGTGGATTGTGACATCCCACATCGCCCAGAGGAGTGATCCTTATATGTATATTCTCATCTCTACCTAGCACGAGGCCTTTTGGGAGCTCACTGGCTTCAGGTTCCGTAGGAACTCTGAAGTTAAGCGAGTAGCGCGCGAGAGCATTCCCATGATGGGTAACCCACTAGGAAGTTCTCGTGTGAGTTTCCAGAAACAAAACCGTGAGGGCGTGGTCGGGGCCTAAAGCAGACAATATCGTGCTACGATAAAGTCGAGTTTGGGATGTGGTGGGTGCTCGGACCGGGATGTGACAAAAAGTCTTTCAAATTACACATGAAACGTAGATTTCTTCTTGGTACATATTTGATACGTTACTTAATATATCTTCTTGGTACATATTTGGTATGCTTGTCTTATTTTTTGTATGTATTTGGTACATTTATATGTATTTAAAAAAAAAACATATTTGGTACATATATTTCTCCTTGGTACATATTTGGTACGTTACTTTATATATCTTCTTGTTACGTATTTGGTACGTTCATATTTCTTTTTTGTATGTATTTGGTACATTTATATATTATTTTGGTACGTTTATATTTATTTAAAAAAAACATATTTGGTAAGTTACTTTATATATCTTCTTGGTGCATATTCGGTACGTTTAAATATATTATATGAATGTACCAACCTCAAGCATCCGAAAATAGAGAATACGTCTAATTATCTCACATAATATCAATATAAAATAGTGAAAACAACTACTAATTGAAATGGATAAGTCCATT